AATGCATATTTAATTTGGCGTGATGGCGATTCACTGTATCCTTTGCGTGTCTGGTTCATTTGTATATATCTGGTTTGTGACGTGATTTACTTGAATCCTTCAATCTCTCCCTCTCTCCTTCCTTTTTCGATTTCTTTTTCGTGTTTGTCCCCGTTGACACCCAGTACAATGGAATATAAACCAGCCTTGGAGCCAGAAGTCGGAACAACCGATCCGGCACTTGCCGCCTTGAAAATACCCTCCATCCCTCACTCATAGCACGCTACCATAGATACCTACAGCGCCGACGCCCAAGGGCCCGCGCGCACTCAAACAGAGCCTTGAACTTGCCGCTGCCGAACTTTGCCGAGACCGGATCAGCCCATCCGAGTCGCGCACAGCCCTCGGTCGGAAGCCTCGAGTCGTCTGAAGCTCTTACCCTCGTCTTTACCTCTGGTAACCTCCCCTCATGGAATGCTTTCTATCCATTCTTTTAACCAACGTGTAATGATTGATAGCGGCCCTTGATGCAGGCTTGTTGAGGAGGAAATCTCCTTATATGGCGTGCAGCGGTAGTTCTTTTCATTTATTTATCTGTTTCACTCTTGATCGTATTTAAGGGCCAGAGCCCCTTAACGACCCTCAGCCTCACATCATTCTGTGCGACTGAGGGTACGTTCATTCATACTTATCATTACTTATATTTACTTACTTCACTGTAGACATCCGACTCATTGTAGGTCGTCTACAGGTATATTGAGTCTTACACCATTCTGTACAACTGAGGACATCCAACTCATTGTACGTCGGCTACAAGGCTAACCCTTTCCACCCAGCGATGAATCGCAAATCATCTGGGCCAGCCGAGCTCTCATTTGCTCTCATTTCCGCTGCAGGTCAGGTGAGCTGCAATTCTTTGCATCCATTTTGTTTATCCTGGAATGAATTATGCAGCGCTGTATTTCTGCGACTCCCTCCTGATGTTTGCGAATGAGGTAGAGCTGTATCGTCACTCGGGTCGAAACCGGGAGCTGCTCTGGAACTTCATCCCTCTATGGTATCTTCCGGCGCTTTATCACCTTCTCATGGTGTTCTCCTTGATATACAACAGTCCGACATCTGCAGTAGTTCCGACTCTAGTCTCTTGATTGACTCTGATCATTCGCAGGGGTCCGATTTTCCGAATTATAGCTCCATGTCTCTGAGACGACCATCATCAAGATGCTCCGCGTTAGATAAGATTGCCCTAGGTCTCGACACCTCATTCCGTTTATCCTACATCGGTTCGTTGCCCACTATTCGTATGCCCAGATTAAAATCTAGCATTACACAACGGCAGGCATAATCTCATGGCGCGTGCGGGTGAGAATTGGAATATAGGTGGCGGTTCCACTTGCAATTCTTGGACTATTACTGCCCGTGATCAATGTCGCCGTATCCAACCCATCCGTGTTTCCCCATTGCCGTGTACTCAGCTCGGAACCCACGGCCCGGTGCGTTTCCCCGGATTTTGGAGAGCGCGTTGGGGGGGGGGGGGGGATATATTATACTCGCGTGGTCCACAGGCTGAACAACGAGTTTACGGAAGACAAACATGTAGTACTGTAGAGGGTCGTTATCCTTACAGAATCCTACAAGTCACCGACCGAGCACACAGTCATTCCAGGGGGTTGATCATATAAGATGCTCACTAACCGTGGACTGGCCGACCTTTAAAGGCAGGACCTCCGGATAAAAGCTGTGCACCAGTACGGAGTTCTCTCCTCCCCAGTATAAATCCCCGGAGTCCACCTGTCACAGAAAGTTGTCATATGGCTTCCCTTTGCAGAAAGCATGCAACAACCGCTCAGATCTGCTCAAGAGCAAACCCAAGGGTCGTAGGCATCGTCCCCGAGGAAACGATGCATAGGGGAGGACCCTGAAGTCTGTAATATTAATCTCTCCACGGTGGATATTCAGAATAAGTGCGCTCGCCACTCCCTAACCATTCCCGCCTCTCGCCGCTGAAGTCCCTTTAAACAGTCACGACTCCGCGCCGCCTTCGACGCATACCACCCTCGCGCTCCTCTTCAAATCGGAATCATGTAGCTTTATATGGCTTTAAATCCTTGTTTATGCTCCTCTGTTCCTTGAAACTGAACAAAATCAAGCTGGTTACTGAACTCATCAAACCTCAGTTGCAATCTCATCATCACATCCTAGGAGACTGTCCCCCAAGGTCCAGTGTTTTGGCTGCACGTCGTCTATGTAGCTGATGGCAAGCCTCACAATTATCCCCATGCTGGTGTCTTAAACACGATACGATTGAAATATATTCTGCGCAGACAGCCAGGAAGGAAAAAAGGAGTGGGTGGAGATCCTGACCTCCTAAGTGATTGGCTCCGAGTCATACCCCCAGTTCGACGATGACCCCGTTTCTAAGTAGTCTCTCATAGACAGACACTTCAACACGAAGCTCGTACCTCACTTTTTGAAGTCTGTTAGTTACCGCGGGGGTCCAATCATAGTGCTCCGTTATTCTGTAATTGTGGAGTTTGAATTTCCCTCGGTCAAACCCGCAATCCCTTTTTGCAAGCCTCTTGACCATTAAAATGTCACAAGAACCTTCTTAAACCCATTCAGTACCTCTGCAAGAGGCTGTGGAATACTACCGGGTATCATAAGGCCATTTCCACCTCATTTGAAAGCTGATTGCGTAATCACGCGCCCAGATCATCGTCCCGTTTTCCTGATTTCGGAGACATCTTTCGCGATTCTGGAAAGACAGACCAACGTACACGGATCAGGCAACCCACTCTATGCTATGCAGTAAAGTGCACTCCGCGTTTATATAAGAGCGGAGCACTGTGATCCAACCCTCGCGGTAAAAATTAAACTAGTTTCTAAGCGAGACTAGACATGTGCGGTAGTACTACTGTTGAGGGCACCGGCAGCATCGAATCTCGTACCCACATCAAAGTGTTGGCTTTCCGGTCAGCCAAGTTTTAACGTGCCTGGCCCGATTTGACCACAGAGTGAGATCTCAGAAGTCAGCAATTTAAAATCTGCTCGGGAACTGGCATCACCCATGGAAATTTCCTCTATGGAGTGGGTCATCGAACGTCAAATGACGCGCCAATCTTAGCTTGGGAGAATTCCGCCGCTTTATTCTGTGGGCGGTTGACAGAATGATCGTTAGCGCCAGCAAACTTCCGTCCATTCGAAACCGAACATCTCCGACCGAGTCAACAGGCCGTCGAACGAAGAGATATGCCCTGCTCACCGCCATAAGATATCCCAGTGGACAGGTTTAAGAATCTCTCTCGAACGGAATTCAACATCGATGTCACTGATGTAGATCTCGCTGGCGAAATGGAATGACTCAATGGCGCATAAAAGGAGACATTCCGGTGCACTGGAATCGCCCTCAACGACCCGATTCTATGACCGTATCATGATCTGCGCCGCATTCATTCCATCCGGATACTGAACTTTATTCTCTTGCCCAGACGATTGCGCACCGCGAGTACAATGCGCCATGTGAAGCCCTGCATCGAAATCAACGTGTTCTTGTGCCCATGAATGTCATCTTTCAATTGAAGTCAATAGGGAATGGGGAATGCATGAGTATTTGAGCGGAATCTGTCCACGAATACAAGTACTGTACAACCTCCTACCTCGTCCATTCACTGCTTCGTGCCCGCGGATACCAACGCAGCGAAATCCAGCGCGGGATACGGCATAACGGCCCTCCCCTCCAGCACCTCCGCCACGAATGCCTTGAATGTCCGAGGCTGGTAGTCCGGGTAGAGCTCCCGCGCGTCGAGGTACCCGAGGTACGCGGCATAGGCGGGCGTGTTGTCCCCACGCACGTACTTGCTGTAGTTGTAGTCCTCGCCGTAGGACATCACACGCGCGAGGCGGTTCCCGGGCTCGGCGGCGAGCAGCGCGGCGTAGCGCGCGCGCCCTGCGGCGATGTCGTCCGCGGATACCTGCGAGCATCGCGCACAAATCTGTTAGCTTCCGAAGCAGAATCCTAGCAGGGGAGAGCGCACATGTTTACGCTCGATTTTCTCGCCCGACATCTCCTCCATGAGCGCGAAGATCTCGTTCTCGGAGATGACGTCCGAGTAGGTGAAAACAGACTTGTTGAGCGTGCGCGGGTCCTTGATGATCCGCGCGACGAAGGGCCCGATATCGCGCAGGTCGGTGAGCATCGTCGGCGCGGTCCCGCCCGCGTGGATCTCGACCTTGGGCTTGAGCGGCGCGGCGTAGTCGACGCGGCCGGAGGGCAGGGTCGGGAACGAGATCTGGTGCCAGTAGCCGACGTCGATGATCGTATAGGGGAGGTAGAGCCGCCGGATGAGCTGATATACCTCTTCTTTCTGCGGAGGACGTTTGTGAGCGGGATATTACCTAGACGAGTGTGGTGGGATACGGAGACGTACGTTGTCTCGCAATGCCATCACACCCCCCGGCGGGGCGACCGTGGTAAACGCGCAGGGAACGAAGCGCTTCACGCCCGCCTGCTTCACCGCGGTGGCAAGACTCAGCTGAGCGAGCTGGCTTGACGCGTCGATTGTGCTGATGAGGACGTCGATCCCGGCGAGGCTTTCAACCAAGGCCTCGATTGGGCCCCCGATGTCCACGATGCGGACCTTCACACCGCGCTCCGCGAGCTTCTTGACGTCTGGCTTTTCTGCTGAAGATGGGCGAACGAGCGCCTCTACAACCTGCGCGCGTTATGATCAGATTGGAGCGATTGATGTTGAGACACGACTCGGGGAAGCCTGACGTACGAACGAGGCGGGGTCCTCCAGTAAACCTTCCAGGATAGATCCACCGGTCTCTCCAGTGGCGCCGAGGAGGAGGACTTTTTGTTGGCTCATGGTGTGGTGAGAAAGCCCGGGGGACAAGCGCGTGTATTTAAGGTCCTGGTGATCCGAGTGACGTGATGAAGATAACGCGAATCTTAGCTGTTCCAGATTCCGTATTTTAAAGCCTTTTGTAACATGCCGGCATTGGCAGGCCAAGACAATCTCCCCGCCTTAGCTCAGTTGGAAGAGCGCGAGACTGTAATGGTTCCCTAAATATCTCGATGCCACCCGTTCGATCCGGGTAGGCGGGACTTTTTATTGTTGTGTTCGAACTTCGTTGGGTGTTGGATATCCCGGCGGCGGCGATTGTCATTCTTAGTCTTCCCGTCAATCCGGAAACCCCGATCTTCTCGGTATACTTTGAAGTTTAGTCAGCCGGAGTGCCACTGCCGAACTCTGCCGAGACCCCTCCCACTTCCAGTTTCCGCTTGCTTTTCCCTTTCTTCGGGGTCTGGAAGCCTTGGTGAATTGACTCGCACTGCCTTTTGACTGCCTCGGACGTCTATTCTGATAGGCGAAGGCTCAGCCCATCTCGCACAGCCTCGGGAAGCCTTGAGTCTTCTGAAGCTCTTTCCTCGTCTTTACCTCTGGTAACCTCCCCTCATGGAGTCCCTCCTATCCATTCCTTCACCCAACGTGTAATGACTGTGATGCCGGGCCCTCGACGCGAGCTGACCCTCTCCACCCAGTGATGAACCGCAAGTCATCTGGACCAGCCGAGCTCTCATTTCGGCCGCAGGTCAGGCCACTCGTTGTAATCCTCCGCATCCAATCCGTTGACCCGGGAATCCCGTCTACGGCGCTGTACTTCTACGACTTCCTTGTAACGTTCGCAAACGAGATAGAGCTGTATCGTCACTCGGGTCGAAACCGGAAACTGCTCTAGAGCTTCATCCCTTTGCGATATCTTCAGGCGCTTTATCAGCTTCTCATGGTGCTCTCGCTAATGGACAACAATCCGACACTTGCAGGAGGTCTAACCTCAGTCTCTTGGTCAACTCTGATCATCCGCAGAGGTGCGATTTTCCGAATTGTAGTTCCATGTCTCAGACCACCATCAAGATGCTCCGCCTTAGATAAGATTGCCCTGGGTCTCGACACCGCCTTCCAACTATCTTACATCGATTCGTTGCGCAATCTGTCCTGATTAACGCCTTACACAGTGACAGGCATAATCTCATGGCGCGTGCGGGTGATACATAGAATATGGGTGGCGGTCCCACTCGCCATTCTTGGCCTATTACCGCCTGTGATCAATGTCGCCGTATCCAACCCATCCGAATTTCCCCAGTGCTGCTCAGCTCGGAACCCACCACCCGGTGCGTTTCCCCGGATTTTGGAGTGCGGAGTTGGTAATAATAATCTCTCCCCGGTGGATATTCAGAATAAGTGCACTCGCTACTCCTAACGATTCCCTCCTCTCGCCGCTGAGTCCGTCCATTCGGAACCGAGCATCTCCGACCGAGTCAACAGGCCGTTGAGCGAAGAGATATGCCCTGCTCGTCGTAAGATATCCGAGTGGATGGATTTCAGAATCTCTCTGGAACAGAATTCAACATTGATATCACTCACTGCATTCAAGCCCCCATTAGCCACAGCGGAGCATCGCCATCCGTCTGTGGAGCCATGCGGCTAGCCGCGGCTGACGTCCACGGCAGAGCTCCGCATGCACTGCCGCCACCTAGCCGGAGGCTAGCCGAAGGCTCGCCGTAGCCTAGCCGAACACTTAGCCATCACCTTGCTGGCGCTCCACGGGCTGTGGCTAAGTTGCCGTCGCTAAGCGACGTGACGAAGGTAGCCGAAGCTTCGCTCGTAGCCAGACGTGGCAGACGCTCCACGTGGCCCTCGGCTATCAGGGCGCTGAATGCGGATCCTACTGGCGCTGGAATGGAATGACTCAATGGCGCATGGCGCACGGAAAGAGACATTCCGGCGCACTGGAATCGCCCTCAAAGACCCGATTCTATGACTGTATTGTGATCTGCGCCGCATTCATTCCATCCTGATACTGAACTTTATTCTCGTGCCCAGACAATTGCCCACCGCCTCTCTCCGTCGTCAACTTGGTCGGTTTTAGCAGCGGTTCTCGAAGGGGGGTAGGATAACGCAAGAAATAATTGTCACCCATCGGCGAAATCAAACGGACGTTAGATCGACGAACCTCCGGTCCGGGCGCAGGCATTCATGATCATTGAAACGGGTAGGGCCTTCATAATGAGATGTGAGAACCGTGTGTTCTCGTGCTCATGAATGTTATTTTTCAGTTGAAGCCAATGGGGAATAGGGAATGGGGAATGCATGAGTATGGCACATATACTGTCCAGTAAATAAGTAAGATTTGTGTTGAAACGTCACAATCATTCCTGAGATGACACTTGTCAGGGAAAAAATCTTCGAAATGACATTTGGCACACCGAAACCAGCGAAATGGCACAGAGAAGGGCCAGGTTAGAAAGCAAATAACCCAGGCTGAGAATAGATACTGAGATGTAGGCATCCAAGCCCTTCAACGTAAGCAGTCCGGAGGGAGCCGGGTCCCACGGTTTATATGGCCGGGGCCATCTGATAACTTCAAGGAAGCTGTTTCTGTGCTTGGGTGATCAGTCTGAATTATTTAATGAGTATGCTGAAGCCACCATGGACCGATGAGCAGCTGATAAAGGCCAAGCTCTAGAGTGCTCGCGGTTGGTTGAAGCACGCGCTGGTCTATGCAGCCAGTACTGCGTAAGGTCACTGCGGTGACCCGTTTTATTCTGATTCCCTTGCAGTCACTATTAATCTTGGTCAGACTTGAACCAGTGATTATTTTGTTGATTTACATCGACAGGTTGGCTCTCACAAGGGTCTCCGACCGGGCTTGCGCCTAAGACATAGCTGAGTCCTCCGTCATGATCAATTTCTGGCTGATGCCAAGTCTGAATTATGGCTATGTCATTTCGAACTTTTCATGTCTGGATCATTTCAACTTTTTTCTGGGGTAAAGTGTTGTTTCAACTTTTTCTAATGGTTCTATTTATGGGACAGTATATGGCTCATACATGAGTATTTGAGCTGAACTTTCCACAAATACAACTCCCGAACCAACCCACTGCATAACCTCCTACCTCGTCCATTCACTCCTTGGTGTTCATGGATGCCCAAGCAACCCAATCCCGCGCGGGATATGGCATAATGGCTTTCCCCTCCAGTACCTCCGCCACGAACTCCTTGAACGTCCGGGGCTGATAGTCTGGGTAGAGCTCCCGCGCGTCGAGGTACCCGAGGTACGCGGCATAGGCGGGCGTGTTGTCCCCACGCACGTACTTACTGTAGTTGTAGTCGTCGCCGAAGGACATTATGCGCGCGAGGCGGTTCCCGGGCTCGGTGGCGAGTAGCGCGGCGTAGCGTGCGCGCCCCGCGACAATGTCGTTTGCAGATACCTGTGATCCCCGCATAAGTGCGTATTGAAAGCCGGGTGAGGAACACGCACGTATTTCCGCTCGACAACCTCGCCCGACATCTCCTCCATGAGCGCGAAGATCTCATTCTCGGAGATGACGTCCGAGTAGGTGAAAACAGCCTTGTTGAGCGTGCGCGGGTCCTTGATGATCCGCGCGACGAAGGGCCCGATGTCGCGCAGGTCGGTGAGCATCGTCGGCGCGGTGCCGTCCGCGTGGATCTCGACCTTAGGCTTGAGCGCCGCGGCATAATCTACGCGCCCGGAGGGCAGGGTCGGGAACGAGAGCTGATGCCAGTAACCGACGTCGATAATTGTGTAGGGAAGGTAGAGACGCCGTATGTGCTGGTATACTTCTTCTTTCTGCGGAGGAGGTGCGTGAGCGTGATAGTATTGGGACAAGATCGATAGAATACGCACGGCGTCTCGCAGTGCCATTACACCCCCCGGTGGGGCTACCGTGGTAAACGCACAGGGAACGAAGCGCTTCACGCCCGCTTGCTTCGCCGCGGTGGCCAGACTCAGCTGAGCGAGCTGGCCCATCCCGTCGATTGTGCTGATGAGGACGTCGATCCCGGCAAGGCTTTCAACCAAGGTCTCGATTGGGCCCTCGATGTCTACGATGCGGATCTTCACACCTCGCTCTGCGAGTTGCTTGACGTCTGGCTTTTCTGCTGAAGATGGGCGAATGAGCGCCTCCACAACCTGCGCGTGAGATGATCAGATTGGGGTAATGTTGAGACACGAACTCGGGAAAGCCTGACGTACAAACGAGGCGGGGTCCTCCAGCAAACCTTCCAGGATAGATCCACCGGTCTCTCCAGTGGCGCCGAGGAGGAGGACTTTTTGTTGGCTCATGGTGTGGTGAGAAGGGAGACAAGTTCGTGTATTTAAGGTCCAGGTGATCTGAGTGACGTGATGAAGGTGACGCGCATCTTAGATGTCCGAGATTCTGTTTAATTTAAAGCCTTTTGCATCCTCCCGGCATTGTAAACATAGGACAATCTCCCGCTCTTTGGGGAATGCCGGAAAAGACAATCTGCCCGATCCCCGAGCCGCTTTAGTCAGCTACTCACTAATATGGAACATCTCTGAATTATGTAGATTCTTCTAGTTTACCTGCCTCTATAGTATATAACACCCGCCTTAGCTCAGTTGGAGTAATGATTCCCTGAATATCTCGATGTCCCCCGTTTGATCCGGGTAGGCGGGACTTTTTGTTGTTGTGTTCGAACTTCGTTGGGTGTTGGATATCCCGGCGGCGGCGATTGTCATTTCTTAGTGTTCCCGTCAGCAATCCGGAAACCCCGATGTTCTCGGTATACCTTGATCGGCCTTCGTCAGCCAGAGGTCGGAACTCCGGCTCTTACTGCTGCCCAACTCTGTCGAGACTTTACCCCTTTGGCCTTCCCAATCGCCGTTTCCTCCAACTTCCCCTTGCTTTTCCCTTCCTCCGGGGTCTGGAAGCCTTGGTGAATTGACTCGCACTGCCTTGGACGTCTATTCTGATGGACGAAGGATCAGCCCATCGCGCACAGCCTCGGGAGGAAGCCTCGAGTCGTCTGAGCTCTTTCCCTCGTCTTTCCCTCTGGTAACCTCCTCGCATTGAATCCCTCATCTCCATTTCTTCACCCAATGTGTAATAATTGATAGCCGGCCCTCGACGCTAGCTGACCCTTTCTACCCAGCGATGAATCACAAGTCATCTAGGTCAGCCGAGCTCTCATTTCCGCCGCAGATCAGACGAGCTCCAATCCTCCGCATCCATTCTGTTTATCCTAGAATCAATTATGCAGCGCTGTATTTCTACGACTT